CTGACAGACCTGTCCCCACCAGTACTGTACACCAGTGTTATACACTGTCAGACCTGTCCCCGCCAGTATTGTACCACAGTATCATACACTGATAGACTAGTCCTTGCCAGTACTGTACCCCAGTGTGATACACTGACAGATCTGCCCTCACCAGAACTGTACCTCAGTCCTGTACTGCAACATACCTGTCCCAACCAGTACTGTATTCCAGTGTTATACAGTAACAGACGTGTCCCCACAGGTACTGTACCACAGTGTTATACAGCGACAGACCTGTACCTCAGCATTATACACTGTCAGACCTGTCCCCGACAGTATTGTACCACAGTATTATACACTGATAGGCCAGTTCTTGCCAGTATTGTACCCCAGTGTGATACACTGACACACCTGCCCTCACTAGAACTGTACCCCAGTCTTGTACCGCAACATACCTGTCCCCACCAGTACTCTACCCACTGTTATACGGTGACAGACCTGTCTGCACAGATAATGTACTCCACTGTTATAAACTGACAGACCTGTCCCCACCAGTACTGTACCAGTGTTATACAGTAACAGACCTGTCTCCACTGGTACCGAACCCGTGTTATACACTGACAACCGATTCCTCACCAGTACTGTACTCCTATGTAGTACACTGTCAGACCTATCCCCGCCAGTATTGTACCACAGTATTATACACTGATCGACCAGACCTTGCCAGTACTGTACCCCAGTGTGATACACTGACAGACCCATCCTCACTAGAACTGTACCCCAGGATACCGTCGCCACCAGTACTGCATGCTAGTGTTAAAAAGAGACAGACCTGTCCCCACCAGTGCTGTACCTCAGTGTTATACAGTGACAGACCAGTCCCCACCAGTGTTGTACCCCAGTGTTACACAGCGATAGATCGGTACCACCAGTACTGTACGCCAGTGTAATATAGCGACAGACCTGTCCCACCAGTACAGTACCCCAGTGCTTTCCAGCAACAGGCCTGTCCCCACCAGTACTGTACCCCAGTGTTAAACACTGATAGACCTGTCCCCACAAGTATTCTACCCACTGCCATACAATGAGACCTGTCTCCACTGATAACATACCCCACTGTTATAAACTGACAGACCTGGCCCCACCAGTACCATACCCCAGGGATATACAGTGACAGACCTGTCCCCACCAATACTGTACCCCAGTGTTATACAGTGACACAATAGTCCTCACCAGTACGGTACCAGTGTTACATACTGAGAAACTCGCCCTCACCAGTAATGCATACCAGCAGTATACACTGACAGACCTGTCCCACCAGTGCTGTGCCCCACTGTTATACAGTAACAGACTTGTTTCCACCAGTACTGTACCCGTGTTATGCACTGACAGACCTGTCCCCGCCAGTATTGTACCACAGTATTATACACTGATAGACCAGTCCTTGCCAGTACTGTACCCCAGTTTGATACACTGACAGACCTGCCCTCACTAGAACTGTACCCTAGTCTTGTACCACAACATAGCTGTCCCCACCAGTACTGTATTCCAGTGCTATACAGCAACAGACCTGTCCCAACCAGCACTGTACAGCAGTGTTATACAGTGACAACCCAATCTCACCAGTACTATATAAATGCTGGGGTACACTGTCAGACCTGTCCCCGCCAGTATTGTACCACAGTATTATACACTGATAGGCCAGTCCTTGCCAGTACTGTACCCCAGACTTGTACCGCAACATACCTGTCTCGAGTACTGTATGCCAGTACTATACAACAATAGACCTGTCCCAACCAGTACTCTACCTACTGTTATACAGTGACAGACCTGTCTCCACTGATAGTGTACCCCACTGTTATAAACTGACAGACCCGTCCCCACCAGTACTGTGCCCCAGTGTTATACACTGACAGACCTGTCCCCACCGGTACTGTACTCACTGTTACACAGTGATCGACCTGTCTGCACCGATAATGTACCCTAGTGTTATAAACTGACAGACCTGTCCCACCAGTAGTGTACCCCAGTGCTATACACCACGAGACCTGTCCCCACTGGTGTTATACAGTAACAGACCTGTCCCCACCGGTACTGTACCCCACTGTTATATAGTAACAGACCTGTCCCCACCAGTA